CTAAACCCTAAACCCTAGGATTCCTTAGTTAAGGTTTTGGGGTCTCTGGGGAGCCGGGAGATCCGGATACGAACCCCCCGACCTTCCCACCACGTTTGGGCAGACGCCGGCGGGAGGCCGCGTGGCCGTGGAGGACATCAGCGCATCGAGGGCTGTCAGGTCCTTCATTTTTAATGTAGGGACCTTCATGAGTAGAATTTTTTTTTTTTTTTTGGGGGGGGGTCCTTATTGTAATTACAGTAGAAATATACCCCAAACCCTATTCTAATGATTAAGGCCCCTATATTAGGCTTAAAAGGGGGTGCAAGGCACGGTGCACTGAAAAACATTTTGGGGCACATATCTGCTAAGAGCCAAGTATGTTGGCACTTAGACCTGTAGGAACGGATGAAGGCTTACGAGGCATTAGTCTGGCTTAGGGTTTAACAAGTGCTTTCAGGACGACGATCCTTGAGTTGAATCCGGGAGGGGGGCTTTACTGCTACCTCTCCGTGTTGGTCGATGAACGTTTCCATCTCGACTTTACAACCCGATGCATGTTGTCAAGCACGAGGGTTCATTCGCTTGCATGGCGCAAGCCAGCGTAGCATTTAGCTTAGGGTTGGGCTCGGACATGTCAAGCTGTTGAGCAGAATGGGATTCTGCACTTAATTAAAAACAAGTTCCTTGTGGAAGCGTCCGTTTTCAATTAAAAACAAGGACAAGTTCCTTGTGGAAGCTAAAAGCGTGTCCTTCTATGTGTATTCGAGTACTGCCCTGGCTGTCCAGAAACGAGCTACGATGGAGGTCATAGGTAGCCGTGAATTGTGGCCAAGGGTGGCCCGGAGCTCCCAATCTTACAGGCAGGAATGTTTCCTCACGAAAACCCTGTCTCATAGAACCGAGCGACGGGGCAAGTTACCCAGCCCTTCGGGAGGATCCAAAAAGTAGATCCCTTAATGGGGGTTCCTATAAAGAGCCTTTAGTAGTATAGGGTCCCAAATTATTTGGGGTTCCTTCCGGGGGTCTGGGTAAGGATTTCGATGAAAGGGACTCGAAAAACTAAGGCACGTGTGTCCTGGGCCCAGGGGGCTTTGGGTGAAATGCAGGGGCCTTAATTATTACAACAGGGTTTTCGGGTATCTACATATTATATATTAAACCCTAAACCCTAAACCCTAAACCCTAAACCCTAAACCGTAATATTTAGGAACCCTTAAACTGGTATCGGTAATATATAAGGCCCTTATATTAGTAGGGTATATCACTGGGAACAACTTTGAAGCAACGTTTTTGCCTCTGGTATCACCAAGGCCTCTGAAACAAACCGGACCTCAGTTAGACCTGAACCCTAAACCCTAAACCCTAAACCCTAAACCCCTAAACCCTAAAACCCTAAACCCTAAACCCTAAACCTGCACAAGGCCTCGCTGGGCCGCGCCAGGCTTCGGATAAAGCTCTGCCTGGAATTCGAGGACCCTTAGATCCATGCGATACATATGATAGCCCCCTAAACCCTGAAGCCTAAACCCAAGGGTTTAGGTTTCAGGGTTCAGGTTTCGTGGGCCATGATAGCGATTTCGGTGCCAGGAACTAAACCCTAAACCCTAAACCCTAAACCCTAAACTTGAATCAGTCAGAGTAGGCACTTTGGGGTCTGCCACCCTTGCATCTGGACGCTCGGACCCTCTGAAGATCTTACATGGGTATGGTCTTTGGGGGTGTGTAATCTCTGGATATATATATATATATATATATGTTTGAATAAATGTAGGGGCCTTAATGATTAGAATACAGTTTTGGGGGTTCCTTATTATAGTTATAGTATAATATACCCCGAAAGCCCTACTCTGACTAATAAGGTAATGCCCCGGAGCCCATAAACCACACAAGCATGCAGCAGAACTGCCGACATGACCAGACTCAGGCTCGTGGGTGCATAGGGTTCAGGGATTCGGGTTTGATATTCAATAATCAGAAAAAGCTTTTGGGGTATCTTACGCTATAATCATACTAATTAAGGAACCCCAACAATAATCTTAATAGTATTGGTAATCATGAAGGTCCATATATTAGCGGGCTTCCTGGAGGTGTAGGGCAGTGTGAGCCTGGGCTTGGGGCTTAGTATCTTTAGCCAGAGTCGTTTTCCAAGCAGGGTGTTTTGCTCGCCAGTACCGAAACGAGCCTAGATGTCAGATGGAGTAGAGATGTACCGAACACCACATCACACTTGATGATTAGCTTAGGGTTTCGGGGAAATAAGATGTTACTGCAATTTTATTGGGAACATAAGAACATACTATTGCCTAACGCGAGCATCTGAACCTCATGCTCCTGCTGCTGCTGCCCCTCCTGCTGCTGCTGTTCCAGCAGGTGCATGTGAAGCGAAAGAGCAGACATGTACCTACATACCCCTTCTCGTGCAAAGGCAAGCCCATATGCAAACGGTACCTTATGCCTACGGCCCCTAAACCCTAAACCCAGTTCTCCTGTATTACAATGCCGCGGCTCCAAGGGAACTACAGTATCAGCACGCTCAAGGATCCGTTGTCCTGGTTCTATATGCGCCGACCCGTAGGCAGGCACCTAAACCATCCCAGAAACATCTTCTTGTTGCGGCACTCTGGCTCTAACTCCTAGCCACTCCTGAATGCCAGGTGCCCCAAATCCCAAAGCCTAAACAATAAACGACTCCTACTCCCTACGGCGCCACAACCCCGAAACCAGCACCCAAATCGCCGAAGTCCGAACCTGACGTAAGTCACGCTGAAACCTTGGTTGACAGACGCCCCCAAGTCTGAAGTTCTAAACCCCCTACCCTAAACTGCCCTAAATCCTAAACCCTAAACCCTAAACCCTAAACCCCCTACCCTAAACTGCCCTAAATCCTAGACTTAAGCCCTGGCCGAAGTAATCCCCGACAGCCCGAAATCTTGAACCCTCATCCCCCCCTCAAAAAAACATCCTAAACCCAAAGCTTACAGGTTTCAGGTTTAGGGTTTAGGGTTTAGGGTTTAGGGTTTAGGGTTCCAAAGCTTACATCTCGAAAGCCCCTTTCACAAAACCGCTCCAAGCAAAGCCAAAGTGCTGCATCTTTGACCAAGGGGACCGCTCCGTGCACTCCTGCACAGGCTTCCCCAAAACTTATCAACTAAACCCTAAAAACCCTAAAAACCCTAAACACTAAAAACCCTAAACCCTAAAAACCCTAAACCCTAAAACTTAAAAACCCTAAACCCTAAAACCCTAAAACCCTAAACCCTAAAACCCCAAAACCCTAAAAACCCTAAAACCTAAAAATCTAAAACCCTAAACCCTAAACCCTACAACCCTAAAGCCCTAAACCCTAAACCCCTTCTTTAAGGGGTGCTGGGCTCCCGGGGGCCGGCCTTCTCGGCGCTTTCTGCCGCCTCGACGATCTCCTCCGGTGAGCCTGGGCCAGCTCGAGCGTTTAGGGTTTAGGGGTTTAGGGGTTTAGGGGTTTAGGGTTTAGGGTTTAGGGTTTAGGGTTTAGGGGTTTAGGGGTTTAGGGGTTTACGTGGTTTTAGGTTTAGGATTTAGGTTTAGGGTTTAGGGCTTAGGGGTATAGGGTTTAAGGGTTTGGGGGTTCGGGGGTTGAGGGTTTTCGATCCTGGGGTTTAGGGGTTTAGGGTTTACGTGGTTTTAGGTTAGGGTTTTGGGTTTAGGGGTTTAGAGTTTACGTGGTTTTAGGTTTAGGGTTTAGGGTTTTAGATTTAGAGTTTAGGGTTTTAGATTTAGAGTTTAGGTTTTGGGGTTTCTGGGTTTTAGGGGTTTAGGGTTTACGTGGCTTTACGTTTAGGGTTTAGGATTTCGGGTTTAAGGTTTAGGGCTTAGGAGATTAAGAGCTCTGCATCGATCAGTGTCGGAAGTGGCTAGTCACTGGCCCACTCTTGCCACGTACTATACTCTAGTACTCTCTACCGTATCATATTGTAAGTGCTCTGCTTTACTGTGTCATCCTTAAGGACGATAAGAACCCTAAAAGGATTTAAGGTTCATAGATAATGCAGGGATTTATAGTATAAGGGTATAGGGCCCCTACTTGTAAGGGATTTGGTCCTCAAGGATATTCTAGTTTTCAACCCATGGCAATATGTAGTCCTCTAAATTAGGGGCCCTTTTTGGATCCCCAATATAGTAGGGCACCCTTATAAAAACGACCCTAAAAGGGACCCTAATTTAGAAAGCTACCCATATAGAACCCTTATAGTTCCCGTATAGAAGCCTTGGAGAAACCCTTCTAGATCTCGGTATGAGGAACCCTCTAAAAGGGACCCTAACTTAGAGAAC